GTGATTCTGAATGCCAGTATCCACACCGGCGCGATGACTGACAGCCGCACATTCTCCTCAAACATTGGATTCATCCGCGCTGTGCCGTGTCGAGGCACAACCCACGTAAAGTTGACAATTCCGCGAATAACTGCAGTTGCAGATTTCGAACAGAGGTCTATAACAGATAAAGAGGAAAAACTGTGGACTGCAGCTTTAAGTATCTTGTAGTGCGCAGTACGTGCAAACAACAAATGCAGTCTTTTTGTAGACTGAGGTGGGGAGACTTTTTTGTAGACTTTATTCGCCCTATGTTTAAGTGTGAATTACATAATCTGTACGTTGCTTGTTCTTAGCACTGAATATCATGTCGTCACATCTGTGTCAAGACACAAACTTACTACCATCAAGTTTTTTTATGACAGTTAAGTTCAAACATTGTGAAAGTGAGTTAAAGCTTATCTGTAAATCCGTCTGTCTTCCAATTCAGTTTACTTTAGCTTGAAATCAGTCTATAAATTCATACTGCATGTTATTTAACTAATTATCTGTCTGCATTTTATTCATATGAATCTGTATTTTCTGTTCACATTATAAATACCATTAATAAATGATGGGTAAAATACATTCTAAACATGTCTTAAAATCTAATGTAGTACACCAAATTCAATTTAAGATGCCTTATTACTCACTTTACTCATGTAACATTGCACAAGGTTTTGTGGCTGTTAACTTGTAACAGTCATTTAATTAATTCTAAAATGAAGGATGTGAATATACAATTTGACACCCATGCTTTATAGACAGCTCTCAGCATAATCAAAATGAAGGGTAATCACAATTATTTTTTACAATTTATAGCCCTAATTTACACCCAGCCCAACACCTTTTTCTATAGATTTGGCCCAGATCCCTGCAGTGTCAAGTGAAGGAAGCTCCTCTCATGAGATTGCAACAGAATGCTGAAGATGAATCCAGAATTGTGAGTGTAATTATATTTTATTCTATGTGCAGTACAAATTTTAATACATGATGAATGAACATGAAAAATTTAAACCTAACTGAGCAACCACAAAATGCCTTGTTCAGACCTGGAATTTACATGTGTCTTGGGTGATTGATGTGTCTTGATTGTCATAATTCATGATGACACATCAATGACTATGTCATTGTGTTAATTCAAGATATTAAACTGCAAAAAGTTAAAGGGTTAGTTGACCCAAAAGTGTTAAATTGTTGTCATTTCTCACCCTCATGTCATTCAAAACCCGAAAAGGCTTTTGTTCATCTTCGAAACTCAAGGTGTGAGAGAGATGTGAACATCACAACTCTGACTACACAATCATCTGAACAGAATGGCTCCTGAGAGAGAGATATGGTTGTCATTATGCTATGTAACTGTTTGATAATGTTTTTGTTCAGGTTAGACTATAGTTCAGAATAAGATTATCTATACAAGTTCATGCATTTTTTGCTGAAGTTATCACATCAGTGATTTAGAATGGGGCAGCGATCTTGCATCAATTTGTCTCCTTGATTTGATTCCACCATCACCACAAGGCTCCAAGAGACCTGGAAAGATGTCCTCATATCAAGCTGAACAACACCTTGTCGCCTTCAAAAAGGTAAATTTGGACATTTCTGTCACACTACCTATTGTCTGCCTCAAAATATTTCCGTTTGGGTTGATTGTATTGTGGAAAACTAATATAAAGACGGCCAATTGGAGAGCTGACTTTGAGTGTTATTTTTGTCTTTGGCAGGGGCCAGCATACAAGAACACCTTGATTGCATTGAAGAGACCACACAGCATCCCTGCTCGCTGCTGATATGGCAATAAACTCAAATACTATACTACTACTACTACCTGCTCGCTGATGGGACAAAGAGGAACTGCATTCATGGATGCTACACAACTGTCGACAAGTAGTTTTCTGCAATCTTGTTCCAATCTACCTGTCATATTTGTTCATGTCTTGGCAAATTTGATGATTTTATGCTTTTTATTGACTTTTTATTTTCTGTGCAACTCATGAATGTGATAATTTGACCTTTACACATCAGGCATATGTTTTAAAGAAGCTACTTTGCCCATTTGTTAAATAAACTTTGGATTTATACATCTGTCTGAAGACTCTTGATTTTATGTCTGATCTTGTACATTAACAATATATACTAGTGTAAATTGTTTGTGCATTGAACAGAATACTTTATATATAACACTTATAGTGTAATCCAATGGAATTAATTCAACACCAGGGGTGTTAAAAACCCCATAGTGTAAATCTTAAACAACAATTGTAAGTGTAACACTTGTTACAATTTTCTACACTGTAAGGTGCTATATTAACACTGTAAATTCAACACTACAAACGGTGTACTTTTTACACTAGATAGATTGGGACCATATATGATCCGGAGTAGTGTTAAAATTAACATTTTAAGTGTTAATTTGACACTGTGTTTTTTATTAAACCCCAGGAACTGGCCTGTTTCTATATTTATTTACATGATTTTAATAAAAAACAAAAGTCATTTTACAATTTCTTTTTATACAAATTATGCTTACTTGTTTTAATAATTTTTTTTTTATTCATCATCATATAATTTGGGACAATGGTGCATAAAAAAAGAGCTATTGCTTATTTGCAATGCACATCAAAGCTCTACTCTTTCTTATTAATGCTGACTACTGACTAGTTTGCCAATAAATCTGTCTAGAATTAAAGGTGCAGTGTGTAACATTTTTGAGTATCTATTAACAGAAATGCAATATGACATCCATAACTATGTGTTCAGTGGTGTATAAAGAACTTACTTAATAAACCGTAATGTTTTTTATTACCTTAGAATGAGGCATTTATATCTACATAGGCGCGGGAATCCCCTTCTATGAAGGTCGCCATATTGTGACGTCATGTTTCTACCGTAGCCGAACGCGAACAAACAACGCTACAGAGCGCGTTTCGTCACTACCTTGAAAGAGAAGCCGCAGGAAGCTAGAAGAAGCTAGTCATAAACACCGTGAGTAGTGACTTTTCCCTTGTCAGTGGTGTAAATATGTAGTTGGATTGTTTCATGTAACTTAATTCTTCTCCCTCGCTGTGTTATGGCTTTGCTATGTGGGGATAAATGTGCTGGTTAAGTTCGTGAGACAGCTGATTAGTAGGCTACTCTTGTCATTGACCGTAAAACAGTTACAGGAATCACCAACCCGTCGATCTTGAAAGCATTTTAAGTCGATCGAGTATCCAAAATCAGAGAAAAAAAGCCTATTGTGTGTAGTAAGTGGTGTCTAGGGGATGCGGAGGCGCGCGCGCTGTTACAATCACGTCATTTTTGCCGCGCGCACCTTTGGGCTCATGCGGACGCGTCGAGTTTAAACAAGGCTTTACGCTTTAACCAGCTCAGCCACAGTAACAGCTCATATTAGCCAGCTAAACTTTTACTACCCTGTTAGAAAAAATATATAGTTGCATAGTTTCATGTGGTTCTTCTCCCTCGCTGTATTATGGGTTTGCTATGTGGGGAGAATGTGCTGGTTACGTTCGTGAGACAATCAGCTGATTACTATTATTATATTATGTATTAAGACCCTTGATCCTCACCTGAAACTTTATCCATGATGTGGTTTATAATGGACTGTGGTACAGAAACTTGGTTTACGCTGGCTATTCTCTGCTGTCTCAGACGACGATGTTTGTCCCGTTTTAGCCACCGTAGCTTCTTCGAAAGGGAGGGGTAAGCGGTGGGCTGAGCCCTTAGTGTAAACTCGCAACCGAACCGCTAGATGTCGCTAAAAATCACACACTGGACCTTTAATATATGGCTCATCGATCAGTACTTACATGAAAATCAAGTACTTTTAATCTGAAAATTAGTACTTTTACTGGAGTAATATATTATGGTATCTGTACTTTTACTTAAAGGTGCTCTACGTAACTTTTAGCGGCCTCTAGTGGTGATGTTTCAGATTGCAACCAAATTTTACAAGAGCGCTCGTGCTCAAACTCATAGACAATACCGTCTATTACGCAAATATCTCGGCGAATACTTGACGGATTCGGCGAGCACCGAGCTCGTTGGGACCATCTAGTCGAGCTGAAAAGAACCATATAAGTTCCATAGTTTTTGGTGGTGTTTTCGCTGAGATATTAGCAGAAAACCACCGGGCGCGCTGCAAAATTGCGGACGCCGGTGACGTCACGATCTCAGAAGAAAATCGCTCGTATCTCTGGAACGCAAAGACCCAGAGAGCTCAAATTCGGGGGAGGAGGTCCCAGGGGAACCCTTGCCCGAACGCTCGAGTGGCGGGCCTCGGGGATGTCCCCTACCGGATCGCCGTTCGCTGGGACCCCGATTTCGAACGGCTATAACTCGGGGAGCCGGGCGAGTTGGACCTCAGGGGTGGGCTCGTTCGAAAGACCCCGTCCAGCACTACGAACGATTAGAGTCTTGGGAATATTGATCAAAGATTGACTGAGATATAAGCCGAAAAACGTGCGCCTTTAACCGGACGTAACTCCCTGACCGTCTACAATAGACTGTATATAAGGAGAGAGGCTCGGGAGCGCGCATGCACGTCACATCCGTTGGATTTCGCGGTAAATCCGACCCGGAGACTTCACATAGAAATAGGAATACTGGCCTTCAGAGGTAATAGCAAAACTCGACAAGTGGATCATTTTAATGTGTGATTACAACCCCTTCACACACAGGCAATAAAAAAAGGATTCATTTTAGTAGAAAAGTTACATAGAGCACCTTTAAGTACTTGATTTGTACTTGGTCCACCACTGGTTTATATAAATAAACCTGTATTGAAATGACATGTGAAAAAAAGACCTTTAATGTATTTGGTCCTTTTGGGTAAAAGTTGAGGCATGTTCTCTATTTGTTTTACTGTTCATCACTGAACAAACTGACTGAGATCATGGCCGACAGGCCAAGTCTGGGGTAACTACAGGTAAATAAATGTATGACATTAGAAGAGGATCACAATTATAAAGGGAATTGTTCACCTTTATCAACCTGTTGTCAAATCCCTTAGTAAATTCTTCCTTCTCAACTCCAACAGTGAAGATCAGCTCAAAGCTTTTGAAGGCGCTCTGTGTCTTAATCACAAAGTTATCCCCATCCTGGGTAAAGATCTTTGTTGGAGTGAGTTGGGCTGCAATCTTCCGAAAGGGAAAGCCAATGTCTATGTATGTAAGAAATAGAATTACAAAATATTTGCAACTTGGCATGGTAATTTCTCATACTTTAGGCTTTGTCTAATATCATAAAGTGATCAGAGTTAGAAAATGGCACAGACATAGCTTTCTCTTATTTCTCTGCTGACTTAAACTGATAGCAGACATCTGATCAGGCTTACCCAGTGCTTGAAGGTAATTCTCAAGGTTTTCGTGCGACTCCAGCTCCCATTTTCCAGTGAAATCCACGGGCATGGTTGTGTGATTAACTCTAGACTTCAGTAGCAATACCAGGTCATGTGAGGAGCTTTTATACTCAACTGTTTATTCACAATGAGGGGAGAGAGCAGAGTAAAGATAAGGGAGATCTCTGACCTATAATTGAAGAGAAGACCCCTCACCTACTGAAAAAAAGTCAAGTGACCAGATCAAAATGTATTTACCACTGGCCACTAGCCACTGTGTGGCAATGAAGAAAATCTGTGCCGCGAGTCACATAATTGATTGTTTACTTTCACTGTCACGTTACGCAAAATGGGAGGAGTATGTCAAACAAATTAACGTTAATCACGGAAGGAAATTGAATATAAGGAAGTGTGTCGTACCTGGGAAAGGCGTCACCCGTGTGTGCATTGAGAAGTTTAGTGAAATCGTGACGGATCGTTGGGGAGAGACGGCCGCTTGTCGATCTGTTGTTTCCTGTGGTTGAAGTCTGGTGCGTCGCGAAAGTCGGTGCATTCCCAGACAAACAATGATGGAGCTGTTTTAAAGACAAGCCAAAGCTGCTGTATCCGCCTATCCTAGTGTCGAAGAGGACACTCGATACTCACTACACCTGTTTCTTGCCTGCAAATGTGTGACGCGTTGTGACGCGATGGGACGCGTGGATGTTGCGTTGATGTTGCGTTGAAGTGAAGACGTGGGAAGTTTTGCACGGATTTAAAGAAACGTCAGAGATGAGATATACCGTGGAACTTTTTGTGTGTTATTAGTATTATTATGAATAAATATCCTTTGTGAAATGATTTTTCTTTTTTGATTATTACTATAATTTTTTTTGTGTGTAACAGGTGGTTATTTTTTGGCTATCCTGGGTTCATTTAAATTGACAGGTTTTATCCTGTCTGGCGCCCGAACTTTTCTTTAAAGTCATTTATTTGTATTAGGGCGGCCACCACCGTTACAACTGTGAAGGTTCTTTGGGGTTCCTTTCCTTTTCTGTTTAGTTAGTAAGGTTACCTTTAATATTCCCTGTGCACTATTTGTTATTTAAGAGAAGTTGTGCTATTCTGATCTCATAAAATGCACTGTAAACTTATTTATCAACACAATCTTTGCAGTATAAGTGTGAGTATAAGTGTGACGGTCTTGCCCGGGCGGTCTTTCTGCTGAGTGGAGCTGCACAATGGAGATATAAAACGTGGAAATAGGTGTTTCACTTCATGGAGAATAAATCAGTTCCACAGCATGTCTCGTTATCTCTACTCTGTAAACAGTACTCTTTCTTTTTAATCTTTTTAAATCAATGTAATCTTTTTTGCGTTGTGATCGTATAGTGAGTACATTTTTGCAAACAGACAATTATAATACATTTTCAGTGAATTAATCACAAATCAACTCAATGAACATCTCAATTAAACTAGTGTATTACCAGAGCCCGTCTACAGAGAGCCTTGGCACTTCCTATTAGCCCCATTGAGTCATCTTGGTTGCAGTTCCATTACAATTCCACTGGAGGTGATCGTGGAGCTAGACGGCTAAATGTATCTCTTTCTCCTGCTTGTCGTTGAATCAACGTAGATTTTATTGTTGATTCCGCAAGTAAGTTCAATATAGATTATAGGCCAAAAGTCACTGCGACTGATAATGACCAGAGACCCCGTTTAATGGCACCTGAAGCTATATAAAATGGAAAAGAGGCCGCACTATGCATATTTTGTTTATTTTTGCACAGACGCGTTTCGGCGTGTGCCTTCTTCAGTGTGCAACAAAATCACAATGTACTTTTGTCCACATATATATGTGGGTATAGTCTTATACCCACACCCATATTAACACCAGCCTATAATATAGGATAATGACCAGACCGATAATACCAACAGTACATAAATGAAGCTGTTATACATTTGCAACAATATTTTAAAAAATTCCACATGGAAATTTTAGATGTCTGACCTGTGCAGCATGCAACTTTATGCTCACAGATAGTTATTTTATTGTGCATTCATTGACGTGCCCTTGTGGGTTACTCTATGTGGGAAAAACGAAGCGACAACTAAAAACCCATATTTTTGAGCATAAATGTGCTATTAGGAAGAATGATGAAAAATCATCAGTTGCAAGGCACTTCAATTCTGCGGGCCATGCTGTCAATACGCTCAAATTTATGGGCTTAGAATGTGTTGATCAGGCTCCAAGAGGGGGGGACCGTGAGAACCGCCTCTTACAACGAGAAGCTTGGTATATCTTTAATTTAAACACATGTATCCCGTGTGGGATGAATGATGATTTATCATTAAGTTGTTTCTTATAATTGGAACAATTGTATTATTTTTTTTAAATATTGTTGCAAATGTATAACAGCTTCATTTATGTACTGTTGGTATTATCGGTCTGGTCATTATCCTATATTATAGGCTGGTGTTAATATGGGTGTGGCAATGGGTGTGGGACTGGGTACATTGTGATTTTGTTGCACACTGAAGAAGGCACACGCCGAAACGCGTCTGTGCAAAAATAAACAATATGCAGCATAGTGTGGCCTCTTTTCCATTTTATGTTATCTTTTAGGCCAGCACTCTTAAAATTCATCAGTACACATTGAGTGAAGTCTGCTCCTATCCTCACTGACCTGAAGCTAAAGCAGAATCAGAAACATTATCTTAAGGAGGACGTTCTGTCGAAGTTCATTTTTGTGTACTGTATTTATATTTTCCTGCAAGCACTTTTATTTTCATATCGTTATATAAGTGCTCAGGCAGTATGAAAATATGTGACGTCATCACATTTTTTAAACGAATTTTTAGAACAGATAAGTGAACTTAAAAATGCAATTTTCATAGCAAAAAAAGAAAAAAAGAAAAATGCCAACCCCAAAGTGGATTTCTGGGGGTAAAACCCCATAGACTCCCATTCATTCAACACTCGGCCGCGAGCGCCCCCCATGCACAGAGACGTGTTACTGCAGCCAGTCCAGAAACAGGAAGTAACCAGAGAGTGCCAATTCTCTTCTATTAGACATTCTCCGGTATTACCAGTAGCCTGCCAGTAGCACCTCATTGCAGTACACGAGATCCAGGGGGCGGAGTTGGATCCAGATCTAAGGGGTGGAGATGAGTAGGATTAGGGGTGGGGTTAAGGATCAGGGGGTGGAGATGGGTAGGATTAGGGGTGGGGTTAGGAATCAGGGGGCGGAGATGGGTAGGTTTAAATATGTGTAAGGTGGGAGGAGTTGGATCTGGATCCAACTCCTCCCCCTGGATTTCGTGTTCTGCAGTGAGGACCATGTCGGTATTACTCACACTAATGTGAAGGGAAACATCCCCACCTAGTGGTGAATATGCACAATACTACATGAATACACTTTATAACAACATGTTTTATACACATTACCTGCACAATGGAGATATAAAACGTGGAAATAGGCGTTTCACTTCATGGAGAATAAATCAGTTCTACATAAAACACAAGAAAATACACAAATTAATTACGATTGTGCCTCGTAATACAAAGTCAAACTAACTCGATATAAAATAACACACTCGACGCCAAACACATATCGAAAGTAGCCTAACAAGTTCATTGCAAGATCAATCCACAATAAAGCCTTTTTTTCTGTGTTTTGGACACTTTTAACTGATAATTCTCCGACTGCTCGAAACCTGCAACTTACCCACACAGCATGTCATCTCTGCTGTGGGCGCGGTCCCTATTCCGTAGAATGATATGGAGCAGAATTGTGGGGAATATTCATCTGACACTGAACACCATTTGCACTCTGAAAATCCAAGAGAACAGCCAATAGCAACATGGGAGGTAATTAACAGCTTGAATGAATCCTTGGCCTTTTACCTTGAAGAAGACGACGACAGTGAGGACATGTCACTGGCAGAAGAGCTGTCCACTTGGGCCATTGAATACCAGATAAAACACAATGCACTTGACAACCTTCTTAAATTGTTAAAAAAGCATGGACACAGTGAATTACCCTCAACTGCCCGGACCCTTTTGCACACTCCCCGGCAACTTAACACACAGCAATCATCTGGAATGGAATACGTTTACTTTCCACTAAAACAGAAATTACAAGAAACATTAGAAAGTTACCCACTTGATGAAGTAGTTAAACTCGACTGTGTTGATTTATCCCTGAACGTTGATGGATTACCACTGTACAAAAGCTCCAAAACATGTATGTGGCCAGTCCTTTGCGCAGTCATGCTAGATCCTGTTACCATTTTCCCCACGGCTCTGACATGTGGTGCAAGTCGACCAACAGATCTTGGCTTTTTGGAAGACACAGTAAGGGACCTGGGTCATCTGATGAATGACGGGATTACCTTCATGGGAAGAAAAATAAAAGTAAATCTGAGGTGCTTTGTGTGTGATGCTCCAGCTCGTGCATTAGTGAAAAATATCAAACTGTATTCCGGATACTTTGGCTGTGACCGATGTGAGCAAAAAGGTGTGTGGTTAAACAGAGTCACATACCAAGACACTGCTGACCTCATACTCCGGACAGATGAAGCATTCAGAAACCAAACACAATTTCAGCATCACCATGGGAACACACCTGTGTCTCACCTCCCCATAGACATGGTGAGGTGCTTTCCCATTGATTACATGCACCAGGCTTGTCTCGGTGTAATGAAAAGGCTCCTGCTCATCTGGACCAGAGGAGACAGAGCTGTAAGGGTTTCGGCCAGCCAAACCAAAGAAATTAGTGCAAGACTGCTGTCTCTTCGGAACTGCATACCATCTGCATTTGTGCGAAAGCCTAGGGGTCTTGAGGAGCTGGACAGATGGAAAGCAACCGAGTTTCGACAGTTCCTTTTATACACAGGGAAGATTGTGTTAAAGGGAATACTGTCAGATGACGTGTACTTACACTTCCTTTCTTTCAGTGTGGCCATGGCAATCCTAGTATGTCCAAGTCTTGTGCAGGAACATTCCAAATATGCCAATGAACTGCTGCAATACTTTGTGGAAAAAGGTAGGACACTCTATGGACAGGAGTTCCTCGTGTACAACACCCATACCATGCTGCACATAGCAAGTGATGCAGAAAACTTTGGTTGTCTGGAAAATTGTAATGCCTTCATGTTTGAAAACTACCTGCAGTCACTGAAGAAGATGGTGCGTTCTGGCAGACACCCACTGATTCAGGTTTCTAAGAGACTGGAAGAGATGAGTAAACAGAAAAAAACTCCAAACAATACAAATGTACAGAAAATCTCTACAAAGGCCCGAGATTGTGCATACATCCTCAGTGGGGGCCAATGCTGTGAGATTCTTCAAGTGCCAGACAAGGAAGAAAGAGTGCTTTGCCGCGTGTACAGTAAACCGTACCCTCTGTTCCACAGCCCATGCACGTCATTTTTGATTGGTTCCTACACGTACAACCAAAAAAACAGCACTATTAAATGGATTCCAACATCAGAACTCACAAAACATGCAATAAAGATGAATGCAGAAGACAGGACTGTGATTTTTCTGTCATTGCTCCACAAGTTATAATCAAAGGTAATAGGTTGCCATTTGATGTGATATGAGGCGATTGGTAAATATAATCAGCTTCTTTTCCATTTATAATAATTTTTCTTGCTTCCAATCTTGCAGAATGTATGCAATAGTTGAATTTTTGGAGGAGGGGACTTGTGATTTGGTACTACAGACCTGGCTTTTTGAAGAAGATGAGGTATTAAATCTCACTTGTATCAACAACATACATTAACAAATATCTTTACAGTCACCATGAAAATCAAAATGGACAATTCTTTCTTTTATGGAATATAACAGTGCATCTTTAAAATTATTCATGCACTTTTTTTGTAAAGCCTTTTTATTCTTTTTTTTTTACAAAATTATTTACATGCCCTCCTTGTAAGGACAACTCTTCTCTTTTTTTTCCTCCTCATCTTTCTTTTTTCAAATTGAACACATTGTTCTCCCAACGAATGTTGGTTCCATTTAGCATGTTTTAAATGCAATTCTCGATTATTAACATTTACATCTAACTTTTTACTCGAGTTAGATTTTTAGTTACTCTTGCTTTCATATTATAGTTTGAATTCATTTTCTACAATATTTATTTCATAATTTAATTGTACTATTTTAATGCAGGTACAATACTGTTACTGGCCACCAATTAATGTGACCAAAAAAATTAAAAGGCTTGAACAACCTGATAAAAAAAATTGGACCAGGCACAGGGTCAGAGTGTTTGCAAAAACAGGTATTTCATTTTACTTTAAATGATCATTCAAACAAAATGTTAGTGCAACTCTGTTAAGGAATGCTAAATTATACTCACTGTATTTTTACTTCAGGTGACTATGAAACTGCAAAAAAGTGGTCCAAAAGAGCACCTGTGCAGTCTTCTGTGGAGAGCTCTGATGACGTTCCCAAGAGAAAAAAACGGCCAGTGTGTCTCAGCAGCTCTGATGAAGGTATGAACCTGAGCGTGAAATAAGTTTACAAGTAAACAATTAAAGTAATTCTAAAATAATTTGTATTCATTTTTTTTTTAAAGACACTTCTTCAGTACCTCACCCCAAAAAGAAGAGCCGGGTGAACTGTACATCAACTGGTAGGCCTTTTTTAGTTTTAATTCTTTTACTTTACCACTTGTGCACAATTTAATATTAAAAAGTGTTTCGGGGTTTTCAGAATACCAAAATTTCATTAGTTGATTGATACCAATACCAGTACATTTCATCGTTTTTCGTTTGTTCGGCTATTTTTTAGTAATTGCCTTCTAATTTACAGTGGAACCTCAGCTGCCATTTCCCCCAGCATTTAAACCAACCAGACAAACCACACTAACGCCATCAAGACCTGAAGAGCATCACATTCTTGATGCATCATCAAGACCAGCGCCTCCTAGAGACATCCAGAAGAATGGTAAATGCAAAACATAATTTGAAACTTAGTTTTTACCTTTATTTGAATGAATCAATCTTGATTCCCCCAGATCACCTCCTGAGCCTACTCACTCAGAGAATCATCAGCATAGAGAGTGAGATGAAGGCGATGAGGAGCTCAACAGCAGCCCTGTATGAACTCTATGCTCGTGCCCTGGGTGATGGGACTAGTCAGCGAGTGGAGGAGATGAGCCTTGATGTGTGTGGCACTATGGAGGAACTCCTCTCTCTCGAAGAAAAAATGAAAGAGGAGACATTTCGGAATAGAGTGGTATGTTAATAGTGACCTATCCGTGAAATGCCAAAAAAAGTGTTAGAATTAAGTTAAATAACAAAAGTTATTACCATTTTGAAAATGTATTCCATCTTGTAGACACACCATTTAAGTCTTGTTGGAGGTCCAAACCCTGGGGAAAACACCCGACGGGTGATGCGGGCACTGGCCTCCTACAGTGTGTGGAAGGAGTTTAGTCTGAAGGGGAAGAAAGGGAAGAGACCACTGCAAAACTTGAACATTATGAAGGTCATAAAAAGTAAGTCCTATATGTTAGTGACACAAAAAAACTGTATTACCAGTACTTTTTTTAACCATTGCTGCATAGTTAAGGAATTTAATATTACAGAGGCAGTGATGATGTCCAATCCTAGAATCCAGCAAGCAACAGTGGAGGACATTGTGGCAGACACACTTAAGCATGCTCCAGCAAGGTGTCAGAATGTAAGCTCCTTTGGTGGTTTTCTGTAAAATAGTTATTATCATTATAATCTAATTACATAATTTAAAAAAAGGGAGATGACATGTTCAGTTGACTTAGTACTTTTCTTTTACTAAAAGTAGAAACAATGTGAAGTTGACCGTTAAGTCACTGGTTTGATTTACTTAAAGTTACACAAACAAAGAACATCTGACTGTAACTTACATGTGAGTGGAACATTTCACAGTCTGTCGTTTAGGTCAGTTAGGCTTGGGGTAGTTTTCAATTTTAACTATTCCAATTCCGGTAAAACAAAAGTTTGGATCTCGTGCTATAAGCTAACATGGTTAGCGCATCTCACCTCGTCATAATTTACATATAGTTGACATCTGACAATCCTAACAACAAATAAAATATTGAAATGAAAGATATGATTCATGGTTACTCACATAGAGCGCAGCTGGAGTTTTTTCTTATATCGTTCAACAACTGCCGAACGTCCTTCTTCACTTGGTTTAATGGCGGGTTGCGAACCAACATCATAGGTGCATGTCGCCACCTACTGTCATGAAGTGTGAAGAGAACTGGTTCTCACGTAATCCCTATATTTTGTAATCCACTAATCCTAATAAACTCACTATTGCATTTTCTTTGTTTCCTGCATTTTAACCATTTAGTAAATACAATTACTGGATTTATAGTATATTTATAGTTATCTTACATGATTAATATAATGAAACCATCATATTTTAAATAAATTATATTGACCAGCTGAATCTAACATTTAATTTCAACAAATGTAAAAGTCAAATGAAAAAAATTATGTGCAATTAATTGTATAAAACTGAAATACTTTTAATTTTGCAGCAGCAAGACCAGAGAAAAGGTGTGCAGCAGCAGGACCAGAGAAAAGGTGTGCAGCAGCATGATGAAGATGATGAAACACTCCTACTTTTTGAAGACGAATAAGACTTTTTGATTTTTTTTTGCTGTTGAAATTTTCATATTTTTTCCTTAAAGTAAGATCAAATTAATTAAAATTACTGTATATGCCAAATTTTTTACTTATCAATAACTTGTTAACTTTAAATATATATATATATATATATATATATATATATATATATATATATATATTGTGACGTCCCTGAGTCCTCTGATCCTATTGGTCCAGCCGTGGGAGTTCCTGATTGGTTTTCCCCATACTAATTATTAATTGGCTTAGAGTATAAAAGAGTACTGTGCCTTCTTAAGGGAGGGCACTCTTTGGAGAAACTCTCCTCAGGAGTGGCTCCTCCGGGTATTTGTCTTACACATGTAGCGTCAAAGATATTATTGTTTGTTAACCTGTTGTTTTCCTTTATCCCTAGACTTCTGTTTATTTTTGTTTCCGATTGTATGTTTAATGTAATAAAACTCTTTTGAATTGCAACGTGCTGTTTGAATCCTCTTTTGTGTTGCGGCCTGATACTAGCGGGTCGTAACATAAAATTGGGCGCTCGTCCTGGATGCTGCATGTGTAAGTAAATACATAGTGTTTAAGGTGTTCACTCTTTTTGAATGAGTAGACTTCAGGTAGTTAGAGTGTTCTCAGCTGGGTTTAAAACTCTTCCGTCGAGGCACTGTTTATTTTTTTTGTTATTTTGCCTTTCTTATTTTTGAAGGTTATTCTGGACGGGGGTTTTAAATCTCTGTTGGGGGTACGCTTCAGGCTTTTGGTTTAAAACGCCAATTGTCCTTGAGCTCAGCGTTTAAATACCGCCCCGAGTCCGGTACACCTTTGAAGACTAGGTAGGTTTAGTTAGTGTTGTTTATAGTTAGGAACTGGAGTCTCTCATTTTCATTTAAGGTGACACTTTTTGTTTTCTGCATCCGCATATTTGATGTCTGCTGATTATGAAGATAATTTGAGATGACTTGTGGTAAGTCTTTGTTTATCTCATAACGAAAGTGCGGATTCTAACTGGAGCATGTGTGGGTGACAATACCAGGCGAAGTGGCTGATGGGATTTGTAGTCCTAGTGCTCTGGTTTAGCGGCGTCTCACGTGTGCGGTTGTATTGTTGTGTTTCTCTGCTGCCTCTTTTAACAGAAATGTCGTCGGTGATCGAGGATTTCTTCTCATTTCCTTCGGAAATCTTACTGGAGAGATGCACGAAGGAAGAGTTGTTGCAGATTGCCGAGCGCTTTGATGTGGAGGTAACGAGTAATGATAAGAAGCTGAAAGACACGTTGGTGAAAGTTGTGAAAAATGCACTTTTTGAGCGGGGTGTTTTAGAGGTAAGAGCTCAAGATATTGATCCTGAAGAGTCTTTAACCTCTCCTCTTTATGCTGCCGATCGAAATGTGAAATTTAGTGAGATGTCTTTGCAAGAGAAACAGTTATGTGTGGATGCGGAAAAATTACGTGCTGAGCGTGACGCTTGTGCACTGAAAGAAAGTGATCTTGAAATGAGAAAACTAGAGTTACAACAGGAACTAGAGTTACGTAAACTGGAGTTACAATCTGAAAGGGAGGAAAGAGATTTTCAGTTGAGGAAAATGGAATTAGAGTTGCATGCACAAACAGTTGAAACTCCACGTCATGCATCGTCTGTGGAAACTGTTAATTGCACCTGGTTTTGACGTTTACAAAAACATTAGACTTGTACCGCTGTTTTCAGAGAAGGAAGTAGAGAAATATTTTCAACATTTTGAGCGTGTTGCAGAGTCTTTAAGATGGCCAAAAGAATTTTGGACCTTACTATTGCAATGTGTTTTAGTAGGAAGAGCACAGGATGTTTATTCAGCGTTGACTATGGAACAAAGTGGTGATTATGAAATTGTTAAGTCTGCTATTTTGCATGCTTATGAACTGGCACCTGAAGCATACCGCCAGAAATTTAGAAGTCACTTTAGGGCTGAAAACTGTACATATCTTGAGTTTGCTAGAGAGAAAGAGAATTTGTTTGACCGTTGGTGTACCTCAGTAAAAGTAACCACCAAGGAACAGCTTAGAGAACTGATTCTTTTAGAGGAGTTTAAAAACTGTGTTCCAAATGCTGTTGCTATGTACCTCAATGAGCATAAAGTGAGTAAAATGTCCGATGCTGCTCTTATGGCAGATGAGTTTGTTCTTACTCATACAATTTCTGTCAATAACTTCAATGATTTGAGCAGGCCTAAGTTGAGTGTTACTGGTAGATCTAAACAGATGGTTTCACGCCAGAATACTGTGTCAAATAGTTCTGATAACACTTCACGTTTGAAAGCTGAGATGGTTTGTTTCTACTGTAAGAAGGTAGGACATAAAATTGCAGACTGTTTCGCTCTCAAAAAGAAAGAGAAGGGTGTTAAACCTGTGGGTTTAATATCTACATCGAATGTGAATCATATTTCTGCTCGATTTAATGAACAGGTTGAACGGGTAGATATTACTGAGAAGGAGAATGGGGAAAATTGTGTTGATTTTGCACCATTTCTCACTGAAGGAACCGTGGCTTTGCCTAATTCAGATAAGACTGTACCTGTACGCATCTTACGAGATACTGGGGCGGGGCAATCCTTTTTGTTAGAAGGACTTTTGCCGTTGTCTGAACGTACTGATACGGGAACTCAAGTACTGGTTAGAGGACTTGAGATGGGGTTCATGGAAGTTCCTCTGCACCGCATTCATCTCGATTCTAAACTTGTGTCAGGTGAGGTGGTAGTTGGAGTTCGTGCTATGCTTCCTGTCTCAGGTGTCACTTTCATACTTGGCAATGATTTAGCCGGGGGAAATGTTTGGGAAAAGTCTGACGCTGATGTTCCACCTGTAGTGATTTCTGTTGTTGAGAAATTAGATGGATCTTCTGACTGTCCTAATCTATACCCTGCATGTGCAATAACTAGAGCGATGGCTAAGAAAAGTATGCCAGATGAAATTGAAAACATTCTCTGTGATACTTTTATTGTTTCTGAAAATTCCTCTCAGCCAGAACGAAGTACTGTGTGTACGGATGCGGAAGATGTGATTCCAGTGCATGATTCACATGCTGTTGATAACAATAAGACTAATAAGTCTGATACAGTGTCTGAATGTCCATTTATCTGTGAGGAACATGTTAACACATCTTGCTCTTTATCTCCGCTTTACAGTGTGACTCGAGATGACCTTATCAAAGCACAGCAGGCGGATGGCACTCTGCAAGAATTGTTTTCTTTAGTTCGTGACGGAGAAGACAAGACTTCATCTCCTTTCTATTTTCTTCGAGATGGATTGCTGCATAGACAACAACCTATGAGTTTTAACTTTTCACTCGATCCTAGAATTCAAATTGTGGTTCCACTTAATTTCCGTCAAGACCTCTTACAATTATCACATCAGGGCATGGCTGGTCATATGGGGGTACGGAAGACCTATGATAGAGTGTTAAGAATTTTATTGGCCTAGGTGTAAGCGAGATGTGATTAATTATATCCGAACCTGTCATACTTGTCAGATGACAGGTAAGCCGAATCAAAAGGTTCCATTAGCTCCCTTACAGCCTATTGCAGCAGTTACAACACCTTTTGCACACTTGACTGTTGATTGTGTTGGTCCGTTACCAAGATCTAAGGCTGGACATGCATATTTATTCACCGTAATGTGTCAGACTACACGTTATCCTGCAGCTTATCCCCTGAGATCAATAAGGCCATCCTTAAAAATATTTTGGTTTGCAGTAACAGCAAAAAAAAAAAAAAAAAGGGTCGGTAGGTAGGTCTATATATTTTTTTTTCAAGATTCAATGTAAAAAAAAAAAGGATAATTTTGGTCATGGTGATTAGGTCGGTATGAATTTAAACAAATTTGCATATCGTGACGTCACTGACTGGGTCTTCAACCCCCATGCCTTCGGGCGCACCATTGCGAACCTCATTCTGATACTGGTTATAGACCACAAACAATTTGAAATCTTTGTAAAAAAAAAAACATATTTATTGCATTAATTCCAGCTGCATTCATTTGGAAAAAAATAGGCAGAATCAAAAGAAAAAAAGGAGCCACTAGATTTCAATGAAAGTGGATTTTCA